CGAGCCTAAGAACAGGGCCTCGCTGGAAGTGGCTCAGAGGCGCCTGCAGAGGTCGGTGGAGGAGGGGCTCGGGCGGAAGGCTGAGTCTGAGTGCGGTGGGCCAGCCTGCCCTCCCCTTCCTTCAGCAACCCGTGTCCTATCACCAGAAGCCCACTCCTGCCTTTCCTTCCATCCCCGAGTGCGGTGGAATAGCGGCCACAGAAAACGATACGCCTGAGGCAGTGACCCCTTTCTGCTCAAAAGGAATGGGAGAGAAAGCCCCCCAGGTTGGTACTCTTCATTAAGTGCACAGTCGGGTCAGGGGTCCACGCTGGCGCAATTCGCCAGACCTGCTGCCCTCTGCGTCCCAGCCCCTGGCGCCCCGTGAGGACGGAGGACACGGCCACAGAGCGACGGGATGTTCTCTCCGGGTGCGGGTCCGAGGGCCTCTCCGAGGTGCACTGAGCGGGGAACCGGGAGCGTGAGCTGCCGCGCAGGGAAGCACGTGGGGGCTGCTCCTGGCAGGGGACCCCCGCCCGGTGCCAGTGTTTGCTGCGTGTGGGTGGGAGGGGGGCAGAGACCAGGGGCGGGAAGGGGGTGTGTTTTTGAGTTTAACAAAATCGTGGGTGTTAGTTTTACAGTATAAAAGGTGAAAACAAGAGAAGGGGAAAGGAGATGGTCTGTAGCCTCCTTTCCTTTTCTCCTCCTAGGGATTTACTGAACTTAGTGGGGACAATTTCAAGGCATTTTCACCACCTACTATTACTGAATGAAGTAAGAACATCAAAGTAGACATTTCCATTGGGGGTAATTTAAAATTTACAGTTGACCCTTGGACTAGGCAGGGTTTAGGGGCACCTCCCCTCTCCCCGAGCAGCTGTCTAAATTCACAGATTCCCCACCTCAGTTTGAAAGTGCGTACAAAGTGCTGTTAATTTACAGACTGGATTTCAAATAATCACAGGGCTTCTGTGTTTCCTGCACTGTAGGAACGACAGTTCGTTCCAAAAGTGACTGCTGCCTACACACTGTACTGTGCTTTAATTTCTTGGAATTCTCTGGCTTTTCAGTTAATTTAATGTCGTTGGTTAATTTAACATGTAGAATGGTCACTGTGTCAATGTCAGACCACCATAGAATGCCAGCTATATTATTTTTAGAAGTTTAAAAATAATTGGCTGATTTCCTCATCTCTTTTTTAAATTGGCCAATACTTTAGAGAAAATACACTAATAGCATTTGCCCAAGTAATGTCTATAAAAGTCCCCAGGAGACTCTATAGTTCCTGGTACGTGCTCAGTCCATTGTGGCCTTATTTATGGTAGCAGTCGATACAGAGCCTTATTCAGCCCAACCCCTTGCCTGACTGTACCACGGAGGTCGCCACTCTTGTCACCAAACACACACTCTGAGCAGAAGGCGTGAGCTGACGCCCGGGCCATGAAGGAGAGCTCTGGCACATGCGAGCCCTTCCCTCTACATGACATGGGGCCAGTGGGGAACAGATGCCCAGGTTTTTTTCATGACATGCTCATTCCACAAAACCCGACGACTAGTAAGCGGCACTGCACCGTCTGCGGCAGAGCCGGGTTGGTTAAAGCAGGCCTTGTGTGTCATGCAAACTCCAGGACGCGGTCAGCGGTCCAAAAATAACCACCAAGATCTCCCCAGCACTCACGTCTGTGAGCCTTTTCAAAGCAGGTGCGACCACCAAACACCCATGTCTGCTCTTCCCAGTTCATTTCCATTTGGGCCATTTAATCTAGTTTCTTAGGAATGGAGAGAGAGAGGCAGGGGGTCCTTGGGGATGAGCAGGATGTCTGGCAGGGGGTCAGCACAGCACCGCTGCTGTGCTCGCACGGAGGGCCTGGTTGGCTGCACCACAGCGCGGTGTGCAGGGGGTTCAACCAGGGAAGGGTAGATCCAACTTTAGGGGCCCTTCTTCAAAAGGCATGTACTTGCGATTCGTTTTACAAATAATCTTATTCGGTAAAAATGCTTTAGATGGAAAGTGATGTTTTAAGTAACCTAGAAAAAAACGGGCCTGGGGGTCCCTATTTGTTAGTGATCATAATTGAATAGGGAAAGTTGGCTTGTTGGGTTGTAGAAAACCCCAAATAATTGTGGCCATTGGCATCCTTCACTTGACGTGAACCCCACTCTGCATTCCATTTACAGTTTAGAGACTTAATAAGCTTCCCCACTTATCCCTCCACAGTAGCTGCGTGATCAGGTACTGTGGTCCCCATTCCAGGCTCAGAGACCCCCAGAATCACTTCACTGACGAGGGCAGAGTTGGCGTTCACACTCAGGTGTCCTGGACTCCAGCGCAGGAAGAAGCGCCCTCCGCCTCCCCTGAGTCACCCTAGCTTGGAAAACGAAATGTCAGGCGCCAACTGCCCGTCATGCGCCTCTTCGGTCCCCTTCCCCGTTCGCTCCCTTTGTCCTCCCTTCCACTCTCCCCTTCCCTCTTCTTGGTTGTGTTTTAACTCGCCAGTGAGACCCTTACCGTCCAAGCTGCCTGGATTAGATCAGGATTTTGAAATGCTGCCTGTGCATGAACCTTTTGACATGCAGATGCCAAGCCTAGGAGCAGCGGGGTCCCCACTGCCCGAGGGTCACAGGCGCCCCTTGACCCCGGGGACCAGCTGGAGCCTCCCTTCCACACAGAGAGAAGGCCTCTGCTGCACTGGACTCCCTCAGCAACGAGCAGCTGGGCACACGCTCCGCCCCACGCAGCGCTGCCTTGCGCACTGGCGGAGCACACACACACACACACACACACACACACACACAGAGCAGCGGCCGCCCCTGAAGGCCTGGTGTGTGTCCCGAGAAATTCTTTGTGAATACATATCACATTGAAAAAGTGTTTACTTTTTTCCTGATCACTAGAGTAATGATGCTTTTTGAAAAAAAGCTCAATTATTACAGAATTTAAAAATGGAGACTAACTCATAACTCCACTAATTCCCGCTAACCATTTTAAAGACGTTCTCATTTTCGAGTTAGTTTTCCAGGTCAAACGGTTGCTTGTTTCCCTCCTCCAGTCTGTGCTTTCGTTTGGAGCGTCGCGTGGCCGAGCATCGTGTGGCCGAGCACTCGGGACTGAGACAGGGGCTGGCCCGCTCTTGCGTGCCTTGTACCCTTTGCCGTGGGTGCCCAAGTCAGGGGTGCGTTTGAGAGACAGGCCGGGCAGACAAAAGGAGGGGGTGTCTCTCCTCCCAACTGTGAATGAGTCCCCAGTAAACAACCAGAAACCTACCTCCAAGTGTTACCATTTGCAGTCTTTATCGGGTGGTTTGTTGAGTACAGGAAATACTTTTCTTTGCGTTAGTTTTGATGTAATTTTTGCTCGGGAAGTGTGGCTTAGTTGATGGTGCATATAAATATGGATGAAGGAATTAAAATATATGAATTTTATTAAAAAGTGGGATTGTGCCAGTTGAGATTTGCGCCCCGGCGTCCGAAGTTTACAGGTGGGGAGCCTGGGCCCCGGAAGGGTTTATTTTGTCAGAGCCTGTCCTCCCTCCAGCCTCGTCTGTGGGTTCGCTCAGCTTGCTCGCTGCCTCCGCGCTCTTCCTGTAGTTCCGTAGAAACCATCGCCAAGGGCGACAGCCAGCGTCGACATCTGGTGTGGGACCTTTCAGACGCCTGGCCAGGTGAACGTCAGAGGAAGCGCCGGGCAGACCCTGCCGGGCAGTGGCGTGCAGTCTGACTTGGGAGTTAAACTGTGCAGATCTATTTCCTGGTTCTGACGTTAGCTACTGAACGTATCACCTTGGGTAAGGTGCACCCCTCCTGGGAGGCTCTGTACCTCCATCCATGAAGTGGGAATAACGATAGTGCTAGCTCATTGGGAAGGAGTGTGGATTAATGAGATGATACGCTTAGAGTTCCTGGCATAGCCCTGGCGGGTGGCTCAGCTGGGTGGAGCGTGGTCTCGTGCACCAAAAAGTTGCGGCTTCGATCCGAGGCTGGTACCGGCGCGTACTGGAGGGAGCTGATGGAGGTTTAGCTCTCACACTGACGTATCTCTTTCTCCCTCCTTCTCTCTCTGAGTCGATGAACACATCTCCAGGTGAGGATTAAAAAATAAAAAATAGGTAAAATTCCTGGCATAAAGGGTGCACCCAGTAAGTGTTAGCACAATTAGCAATGTTCTGTAAGAAATGGGATCCTGCCTCTACTCTGATTCTTTACTACAGCCGACTTTCTGAGCAATCACGAATGCCCATCTGCCTCTTCCTCTTCATGGCGGCTTTCTAATTACATTCTACCATCTGCCTCAGCAGTGATTTGTCTGAACTTGTGGGTGGGTGGGGTTCCGAGGGTCCAAGGGCGGGTGTCTTGCCCATCCTGGGAGAACATCCCGGGTTCCTACAGCCACGTCCAGAGACGCCGCAGGCCTTCGACACCGCAGTTTCGTCCGAACAAGAACGTAGTGTTGTGTGTGTATTTTTTTAGGCCTATGTAAGAATCTTCTATGCACGGACAATATTAACCTGCTAAACACTGCAGGGCTCTGACTGCCGGGGAGATTCCTGGACTTGGAGGCTTCTGAAGTTTCTTATGACTTATCCTCATTTTCTCAAATACCACCGTTGATGCCAAAGTTCTCATTTTCTGCCCTCGTAAGTGAATAGTGGACATTCACTGACTTTAGTCTGAACACTCCCCTGACTTCAGTTTCTGAACGGTCATAAGGCTTAATTAGGACTGAGGGAAGTGCCATAATTCTGCCATCCGCAGCAATGATGCAGCGCTAGGGTGCCTTTGTTATTCAAATGCTCGCGGCCCCTTGAATAAAGTGGATGACTGAGTGCACTTGTCATAGTAAGAGAGATGATTAGCAGTGGGGGACAGCCGGCAATTGCTCAGAGAGCTGCCTTGCTCCCTGGGGAGGCCGGCCCTCAGTAATTACCCCAGCGAGCCAGTGGGTCTTCGTTTCTGGCCCGCTCCTTTCCTTTCTCACGCCTGCAGTGTCTGAATAGCTTTCTCCCACCCCTTAATCCCCGCAGGAATGCGGTTTCGGCTACGGGGAGGACGCTCAGTGTGTGACCTGCCGGCCGCACAGGTTCAAGGACGACTGGGGCTTCCAGAAGTGCAGGCCGTGCCTGGACTGCGCAGCGGCGAACCGCTCCCAGAAGGCCAACTGCTCTGCCACCAGCGACGCCACCTGTGGGGACTGCTTGCCCGGGTAGGTCGGGCGGTTTCTTTTCCTCCTCATTTTTCATTCCTCTTCAAACAGGCATTTTCTTGGTCTTTTCCAACCGCGGATGGACACTGCCATGAACCTGAACTCGGTGAGTGAGGGGTCCCGACTTTGCGTCCCGGCAGTCACCGCTAGGCCCTCGGACCCGTTCGTGGAGGGACCAGGTGCTGCTTATAAATACAGTGAATGCGCACGCTAAGAAAGGACTAGTGTCACAGAACTCTCAAGTCCCTATAAATCAGTAAAAACAAACAAACAAAAACGGACACACGGACAGAAGGGAAGCACAGGTGGCCTGCGATCCTCCTGGGTTCGCCCTCCTGGGGGTCAGGGTCAGAGACGTGCAGACCGTGACCCCTCCGCCCTTTCTGCGGCTCCGTGTCCTGAGGCTGTAGGCCAAGCCCGGCGCCGCTCAGGTCGGGAGCGAAGATGCCCACACGCGGAGCTTCTACCCTAATCAAGTTCTCAAAAATACCTTAGCCGTAAATATTCAAGAAGCAAATTGCGGAGAAAGGCAGATGATGGCGATGCCCACGGAAACGGGAAAACCTAGCGCCGTGGAGGGGAGGCGGCTGCGTCTGAGCGCAGACTTGCAGCGAGGAGGCCGGGCCCTGCCGCGGGCGGGAAGAGCACTGTCCACCCTGGGAGCGCAAGAGCCGGGCCCCAGGGTGGCCCTGCGCCTGGCATTTCCTAAGAAGCTGCCAGGAGGCCAGGGTATCTTCAGGAGGAGGGGAGAGTCCAGTAGAAATAGGGAGGGTGGATGGGAGTGGGCACGTGCGAAAGGGGAAGAGCTTAATGGTGAGCGCTGAGAAGGATCCCGGGCCTTGGAGAGGATGGGATCTGCGCCTGGACCACGGGGGGAGAGGCAGGGCCCAGGCGGAGGGATTTTGAAGCCTGCCGTTTCCCATCCAGGTAACACGGGCGGTGGGGCCCAGCCCCAGCCCCAGAGTAGGGTTTGGGGAGGCACGGGCGGTGACCAGAGCCACGGGGTGAGAGGCGTCGCCGCCCGAGGGATGGAGGAGAGACAAAGCCGAGCATCGAGATGCTCTCACGGGCGGGAGTGCAGTGCTGCCTGCGCTACCAGCCGGAGGCGGCCACTGGGAGCCCGGATTCCTGGAGCAGGGGGAGGCAGGCGTCGTTGCATAAGTAAAACCACCCCGAAGAGCAGCCAGAGTGGCAGACACTTGTTATTTACAATGTGCAGGGCGCTTGGCTGAGTGTTGTACCTGCGTTATGCTCTGCAGGGTCCACAGGGCCTTAGAAATGAAGAAAGCGAGTCTTATCCAGGTTGAGGGCTTTTCAGGCGTGGTAACTTAGCCAATGTGCGCCCAGCGCGGGACCACGTTGGGGAGCCCGGGGGAGGGGCTGTCCCTGGGCTAGGCCGGAGCTCGCCACAGGACTGGGCTCTTTTGACCAAATGGCGCAGGATCCTTCTGGGCTCCTGCTGAGGTCAGAGGGCAAGATAAAGCCTAGACGAGAAAGGCGAAGCAGGTTAGGGAAGCGCCCGAGGGTCAGACATGGCCGAGGCTACCACCCAGCGCCCGGACAAGTGCGATCAGCCGCGTCTACCACCCAGAGAGCAGCCGAACAGAAGATAGCTGCACTGGGGCTACTCACAACGAAGGTCTTTTCTGCTTCCAAGGGTGAAAGTGAAAAGGCAGTCCACGGAATTAGAGAAATTGTAAGTTGTGTATGTCATAAGGGACTGTCTTATCTAGTCTATGTAAAGAGCTCTTACAACTCGGCAATAAAAAGGCAAATAACCCAATTAAAGTATGGGCAAACAATCTGATTAGACATTTCTCCAAAGAAGACACACAAATGCTCAATAAGCACGTGAAAAAACACTCAACGTTATTAGCCATCAGGGAAATTCAAATTAAAGCTGCCTGCTGCAAACCCGCAAGGACGGCAGTTACAGAAAACGTAAACAATCACCAGTGTCCCCGAGGACCCAGCAGGATTGGAACCCTCGTGCACTCGTGGGTGCAGATCGTGCAGCCACTTTGCAAGGTCTGGCAGTTCCTCAGCAAGTTAACACAGTTACCGTGTGGTCCAGCAACTCCGCTCTTAGATACATCATAATCAAGGCAAATGGAAACACGTCCACTGACATTCACAGCAGCGCTATTCACAACAGTCAGAAGTAGAAACAACCCAAATGTCTACCCACTGATGACTGGATAAGCAGAGTGGAATGTATTCAGACGTTGGAGTCTTATTCAGCAATAAACAGGAGTGTACTACTGATACAGGCTGCAACGTGGATGAACCTAGAGAACCTTAAGTGAAAGGAGCCACTCCCAAAAGACCACCTAATTGCCTGAAATATCCAGAAGACGCACATTCACAGAGACAGTAGGTTAGCAGCTGTTTCGGGCTGGGGGTGGTGGAGGAGGGTCGAAAGCATGGTGGCTATAAAATGCCCTAAATGTCCAAAGAGCTCCACACCTGTGCCTATCGTTTCCCAGAGGTTTGACCTTTGCCAGTCTAGTGGATGAACGCACAGTGAACATCGGACACATTTTTATTGTTCCCGGTGTCCAGTTTGGATGAAAGCACGCCTCTGTGTCTGCTCTCTTCATCTGTGAGGCAAGGAGAAGAGGGGACCCACGGGAGATCATGCCCACCTTCGGCCTGACTTAAGGGACAAGGGCTGAGCAGGCAGTGCCCAGAGAGAGTGGGGGAGGCACAGGCCCCAAGGCCTGAGTGCTCAAGAAGGAGGAGCGTGGGTGGGTGCTGTCTGGGTGTGGGAGGGGCCGTTTCCCTCACCCAGCTCCTCTGCAACGTGCTCCCCCCCCCACAGCCACAGCTGCGGTCATCTGAACCCAGGCTTCAGTTTCCAGGGTTCGATTCTTCAAGTAAAGGCTTTGATGCAGGCGAGTTAGAAATGACCGGACATTTGAATGTTTCTGAGTTTATTATACGATTGCTTTAAAATGACATCCTTCCCAAGCCAACATGAACGTGTGTGAGAGGCAGGCAAGAATTACACAGTGACTTCTACCCCGGTTTCGGGAGTGTTTTAACAGCGCTCATCCAGCTCCGAGTGTGGTTCCCAAACACTCTCTCCCGTGTTGCAGGTTGCCCTTCATGCCGATTGTGTCTTTTACGTCTCATCCAGAAGGAACCGTTACTTTTATTATCATTTAAAACTATTTTTGGCAGGACTTAGTTTTTTAAGCACTTTAGTAAGAAGGGAGTGACCTGTGGGAGCTGCACACATTTACTGTACACAGCTCAGTGAGTTTGGGGGCAAGTGCACACGGGTGGGGTCCTCTGATGCCCCCTGTGCAGTTCGACGGAGTCCCCCTTGTCTGTCCTTTTCTCTTCTCTTTTCTTTCCTTTCTCTCTTTCGTTTTTCTTTTTTGTTTTTTTCTGCCTGCTTCATATGCCTTTTGGTGTCACAGCTAAGAAATTACTGCCAAATTCAGTGTCATTAAGCTTTTCTCCTTTGTTTTCTTCCAGGAATTTTATAGTTTTGAGTCTTTCATTTAATTTGTTTTGAATTAACTCTTGTACATGGTGTAAGATGAATAGCCAAGCTCATTCTTTCTCCCTTGGATGTCTAGTTTTCCCAGCCCTCTTTGTTGAAGGGACTGCCTTATCCCCACCCATTACGTGGTCTTTGCCTCCTGGTCAAAAGTTGTTTGACCGAATCCACAAGGATTTATTTCTAGATTCTCCATTCTGTCCCTTGGTCTCCATGTGTCCCTTCATGCCAGTACCACAGTGCATTGATTAATAGAGCTTCGTAATATTTTGATATCATGAAGCGTGAATACTCCAACTTTGTTCTTTGATTTTGACTTTATAATTTCCAAAATAAATATCTTTAATTAGAATTGGATGGCAACTCATTATATTAAAATCATTTGAACATTCATAGTCTAATGAAAATGGAATGTCGAGCAAATAAGGAAGCCATAGGGCGGATCTGAGGTAACTTACCTAGTTTCAGATGTAAATTTTGCTTCCATCAGGCATTATACAGATTTGTTACTACATTATCCAGTTTCACAAAATAATTGCATCTACCTTTCCTATACAGACTTGGTCTGTAAGCTTATTCTCCATATCACTATTTTTGTCATAGAGAAATTGGTAGTTTTCTCTATGAAAGAAAATTGCTTGAATTCTCACCATCATGAAATAATCACTTTAATAGTTGATATATAATATTTTTCTATTTTCAATGCAGATATAAACATACAAATGTCTTTAGTGCATTGGTAAATAATCTGAATCTGTAATGAAGTGTATTTGTATAAAATGGAATGATGTCATTCCCACTTCTTTTCTCACTTGATGCTACTCTGTGAGTTAAAAACCGTGCGTGACGGGTCTGCATCTCTGTTCCTAAGGCCCACCCTGTGCCCTTCAGCCGGGCTCTACTCTCACCCACTGTGGTGTCCCGAGATGGTGCCGAACTGGCTTTTTCTCTTCTACAAAAAATACCGTGATTGCATTCCTGTACATGCAGTTTCACCCGCCTGATTACTTCTTTGGGATATATTTCAAAAAATGAAATTACTGGGTAAAGACTGTCAGTAAACTATTTTACTGAGTTCTGATGACACATATCGCTAAATTGCCCTCCTCCAAGTGGCAATTCATATTCCTCCCGGCAATATGTACTGCTCTTGTGTGTATTTGCTCAGTTTTCCAAGTAAAAATGCTATATTTCCATCACAGTTTACATTTACTTGATTAATAATAAAGTGAAACATTTTAAAGTTAAATTTTAAAAATTTAATGGTATCATTCTTTTTAGTTTTAATAATGAAAATTACGAATTATGAAATGATATTCTTTGGGGAATTAATGCTCCTCGCCTGTTTTTCCCTTTTACGACAACGCTGTTTAAGTTCAATGTTACAGATGTAGGTTATGGAAGGTGCTGTGACCAGAACCCTTTTTCTGTTTTCTTTGGCCCATTAACTGGGTTGGCGATGCTTTGCTCTCTGTGCTCTTCAGCTCTCTTTGCTGTTCTGTGCGCGTGCGCTTTCCAAGTGGTCACTCTCTCCCATTCTGCCCCCTGGGTCTCTAGTGCTGCCCAGAGAGATGTCCCCAAATCAGAATGATGTGAGCATCTCCCTACATTTTTCATTGCTTTTACGAGTCACCTATTTTGGTCTCTGAATTTCAAATGTTAAAAACTAGCACTTTACTTATAAAGTGTTTGATCCTTGAAATTGATTTCATATTCCCTCACCAGCACCCCTCCCCCCAACATAAAAAAAAAGTGGGGCTAACAAATCTGCACAGTTAGGTTTAGTGGCATCGGTATTTTTTAAACACTCACTGCATGTCCACGGGGCTTTCCAAGGCTGTCTGTCTAAATGCTACCACAGTTAAGGCTTTTGAGAACCTTTTTTAAAAAACAGTAGAGCTGGTGGGGGAGACTGCCAGTAATTTATGTAATCTGTTCACTGCGACCATGAGCGTAGGTGAAGGAGCTAACAAGGATCATTTTCCTTTTTCTCCTAGATTTTACAGGAAGACAAAACTTGTTGGTTTTCAAGACATGGAGTGTGTGCCTTGTGGAGACCCCCCTCCTCCGTACGAGCCGCACTGTGAGTGAGCGCCGCACAAACACAGCTGAAGGGCTCTTGGCCTTTAAAAAAAACCAAAACCTTTGTTCACTTGGCAATAGGAGCGAAATCTCTCTCTACGGTGGAGCTTCTGGTGTGCGCTCTTTAATTAAGCTTCGGGCAGGACCTAAAGCCCTTTTGTTGTGCCTCAGTCGGCAAGCTGGGCCCACTGACGGGAGCCTCACAGTGAAATGCGGACGTTTCGCGCTGCGGACTCCATTGGCGCGCAGGCCACTCCAGTTAACCAGGTGGCCCGACCCCTGCCTGGCGCATCCGGCCTCTGCGCCTGAGTGTCCCCATCTCAGTCCCCAGACAATGTTCTGCGGTGGCTTTTCTGTCGGTCCAGACACATCCCTCTCGTGAACTGCCTGTCCTAATTAACGTATTGTGCAGCAGAACCTCAGCTCGCTTGGCTTGTTCCTCTATTTTCCTCATTTAACGAATAAGTAAGGAGAGAAACCCATGGTGTGCTGGGAATATAACCGTAAATGAGAAATCTTTTTTTTCTATTTACACTAACATTGCTCTTTTTGATCATACCTGTCCCTTAGATATAAAAGGTGTTTGTTACAAGTTCTGGGAACCTGCGTTGACTTTGAGTGGGGCTCCTAAGTACGAATCTGGCCAGTGACAACCCACAGGTGCTGGGCCAGGAGAGAAATCAGCAGGTGGCCCTTGTGCGCTCGGCTCATGCTCAGTCCTGTGCACAGGAAGTCTTGAATCCCGGAGGGGGAGGCAGGAGAGGTTGGACCCCGAGTGCAGGTCCCTTGTGCTGCCTGGGGGGCATTGGTATATGAGTCTGTGGAGATAGGGGTTGTTTGGATATATTTGCAAAGCAGCGGATGTGTCCTCTTGCATCTTTCTGTGACAGAAGCCTCCTCTGAACTAATGGAAAGCTGGTGTGTTACTGGATAAGGTCACACGGTACTTGCATCTCCCAGAATGCCATGGAGTTTTGCAGTCCACATTATTATGCCCTTTACCAGAAATATGTTATTTTTTACTCTTCATTTGAAGTGATAGCAAAGCAAAAAAGTGCATAATCTAACTTTTATAGAAATGTATTTTGACCCTCATTTTATAATATCCAAACATTCACCAAGTAATTCACCGCAGTTAAAAAATGCAGTAGTGACTGTCCGTTCTGTATTAGTCCCCGTGGGGAAACAATTTGTTTTGCTTAATTTTCTCAAGGCCGCATCATCAGCCCCACTTGTCAAGGGGGACGCCAGGCCCAGAGAGGTGCACGGCTTGTGGCCGTTGGCTGGTAACCAGCGGAGACGTATTGGACCGCGTCTGCACTCTGAGGGGTGTGCCCTTTCCCCTGCACTCGCTGTCCCCACGGGAAGCCGAGCTATCGCCACTCTGCTCTCGCGGCTGATGGAGTCTACTGAATGTAGACTTCTTCTTATATTGTTTGCTTTAATGTTCACAATTTAAGGGAAACTCTGAAAATCGAAGAGAAGATCCTGACAGGGCCTCTTTAGGCTGAACCACTTGTAAAATGACCACCAATCACAACGGGCGGCCTGGCCACGCCCGTGAGTCAGGTGAGTCCCATCTGCTCCCGAAGGCAGACTGGACTCTTCATCCCGAAGTGCCCGGAAAAGATTTAGGGCAGGAATCAGTGTTGCCCAGGGTTGAGTTGGAAAGCACTGGGTTAATTTTTTGTTTTTGTTTAATAATCTAGTCCTAAGTCTGAGGCTTTAGAATTTTTTGCCTTTGGGGATCTGGCTAAGTTTGGACATCAGAAATTAGCCTTTAAATGTAGATTTTACATTTAACTTTTAATGTCTCGCAAAGCCCTAATTAAGTTATAATTTGAAAAGAAAAGTAACTAATTTATATGTACAGGTATACTTCTCCGTATGGGACACTTTTTAGAAAGCAAAGAAAAATAAATTATGCTTCAAAGTCAGAACTGTAGGGTACACAGCGAACCTCCTTTCGAACTGGGAAGCGGCAGCTTGGGGTCCGTGACAACCCTTATCTCTGGACACAAAAGACTGCCCTGGGAATCCTTCCAGAACAGGACCAGCCTCCTCCACGGAGATCTCGGTGTCTGGGGGAGAATTATGTAAGGCGCCTTATGTGTTCATTTCCCCTGCTTCAGGCTTTTTAACGCATTCCCAAGAAAATGGCTTCGTCAGTGGTTTTTGTCCCCTGAGGAGCTGCTATTTTAGTTAAGACTCTTGGTTCGCTGTAAGAAAGTGACGCACTTGGCTGCCTTGAGTGTGGCATGTGTGGCAAGGAGGCAGGCCGTGTGAGAGGGGCAGGAGCTCCCTGAACCCCAGGGCCAGCCCTGGCTTGAGGCCCTAGGTAGCCGTGGAGTCCGGGCACCGTGGGCCCTGCAGCCCCGGGCCCTGTCTCAGTGCTGCACTGCCGCTGGCTCCGCCTGCAGCCCTGTCTCCAGGCCTACTGCACGGCTCGGGTCTGGACGCCCCGTCCAGGCCCCTGAAGGGCAGGATCTAGGTAGATACCCTCGTCCTCTGAGGCAGAGGCTGCTCCATCTACCTGGGGAGCAAACGCGCGGGCCCCAGGCACGCAGCGCCGGGCAGAGACACCCTGGTCCTCTTCTCCTTCGAGAGGACAGTCTAGTGGAACTGTGGTCCACTAACCGCTCCGACGTCAGCAGTGCTCAGAGATGACGCATGCGGAGGGGCTGTGGCCACGGCCTTGTCCCGGGTCTGGGAGGCCCAGTGGCACTCCAAGGGGGCGTGATGGGTGGCGATGTAGGAGCCTTTGGGGAGGTTGGAAGCTGGATCAGCTGGAGGAGGGCGAGCCAGAAAAGGAGACCAGACGGAGGGTCCTGGGAGGCTGGGGCAGGAGTGTGGCCCGCAGCGTCGGGCACCGCGTGCACGTGGGGTCAGTGGACACTGGCTGTGTCCCTGGCAGTTCAACCCTGGAGATCTTCGGTGACATTGCCCAGAACCCTTCCCATGAGTGATGGGAACGGAAGCCAAGGTAAAAGGAAACCAGAAGCTCACGTGGGGTAGGGTGGAGACCATTCAAGACGGCGCCATTTGCCCGTGAAGGTGACCCATGGAGTGTGCAGGCGAGGGAGCATTTTAATCTAGCTTTTAAAACACATGTTTTCTGCATGGAGAGAACAAAGTTACTGCATGTTTTCGCGTGGAGAGAACAAACTTACCAGGCACGTGAGGTTGTTGGTTGGAGGAGGGTCCCGAAGCTCAGGTGTTCAGGTGTTCGGTTGGCCTCCTCTGGGAGGAAGGGGCGGGGCAGAGCGGAGGGGCGTGTCCTCCAGCGTGGGCGCTGACTGGCCTCTGGGCCAGAAGGAGGCGGTGCTGTGTTCTGCCGGGTGGGCGGGGCCACGGAGCTCAGAGGCTGGAAGACACCGGGGTTGGAGGTTGTCCTGGCAGAGAGTGGGGGGGCAAGTGAAAAGCGTGGGTTTCCCAACAGCCAGGGTCCTGCCAGAGTCTGAGATGACAGTGACCCGTTGCTCCTCCCAGGATGTCTCATGCTGCGGGCTGGGCTCAGGCCACCGGGGACGCGGCCCTGCTACACACAAGCCGCACCCTAAGTGTGCAGCACACAGCAAGCAGTGAACAAGGTTTTAACGATGGCTGTGTGCGTTCACGACACAAGAATGATTCTGAGTTAATGTCACGCTTCTTTTTATATTTCCACAATCCCTGAAGCAACCAAAGTAACGACAGAAAACAGCATGGGAAACGTCTTGCTGTCAACCTCTCCAGAGGCCCCCCAGGTCCACATGCGTCTGCGGCTGGTGTACCTTTGGCCAGGTGACCTCCTTAACGTGCCTAGGGCTCGGTGCGGTCTCTGAAAACTGGGGTGCCACTGCCCTGGCAGGTCGTTGTGAGAGCCAAGTAGCCCATCACCGGAGGCCGCAGGGCACAGCATCTCTGGGAGCAGGGCCCCTAGCCTCCCTCCTGGCTCCGCCCACCCTGCCCGGCTTCTGGGATGTGGAGATCTTATCTTCTGGCATGGGGGGGACTTGTTGTCTTGAGGAAGGTCCAGGTAACTGCCCAGGGGCTTGGCGTGCCGCAGAGGCCCGGGTTCAAGAGGACCTGTGAGCTAGGGCGGTGTGGGGCCGGCCACCCACTAGTGGGAACTGGTGTGACGAGACACTGAGGACGCTCAGGCCGGCAGGTGCGATTTCGAAAACGAGAAGGAAGTTTCGATCGCTCACACTACTTTCTACCAGCCCAGAGTTAGGACGTCCTCACCAATTTGGTGTCTGTCGGGGGTGGCAGTGCAGAGCAGAACACGGTGGGGGGCTCACTGCTGGACATCTTGGGTTCACTCTAGGCCTCGGACCGAGGGCGTCATGGCGGGCAGATTCCTCAGCACTGCGAACCTCCACTTGCTCCCCGGAGAGTGGGCAGAATCGTCCTGGGCTGGCAGGTCTTGGCCGGGACTGCAGGCATCCAGAGGCGCCCCAGTGCAGCGTGCACTCGGAACCAGCTGCCCGCTGGCCTGCCCTCCTCCAGTGCCGGCTGCCCCTGCCCGCGTCCCGGGGCCCCACCCCGACCAGGTGTGCCCTGTAGGGTTGGGAGCTGACCTCTCGGGAGGCACTCACTGCGCAGTTGGCATCGGTGTTTGCCTTGCTGGTCCTCCCCTCCAGGGGTGGCCGAGCCATGGAAGATGCCTAGAAAGGGGCTGCAGTGGATTTGAGTCTGTGCCTCGGATGGCTAGACTGGAGGCCAAAGGGACTCTCCTTAGGCTGAAGTCTTGTCTCTCCATCCCGGGGTCCAAGGCCGCACGCACACCCTGTGCACAGCCAGCCTGGGCTTTCGGCTCCCCACCCCTCCAGAGCAGGAAGGACGGGCCACCTCTTTGTCGGCCACTAAGAAGGCATTGCTGTGTGCGGACGGCTGGTGAGGCACGGGGCCCAGACTGGCCAGCAGCATCTCTGAATCCCAGGTGAAAGAAAGGGACCCCGTGGTAGCAATCTCTGCTTGAGGCTTTTCTCCTCTTTGTCCCTTGTCTTCCTAGTAACA